TAAGGAACGTCAAATTGTATTTGAATTGCAAAAGAACTGTTTAATTAGGAGAAGAGTTATTAATGGGCATTGGTGAAAATATCGAAAGAAATTATGGAAAAATAAGGGCTTCTACGTACTCAAATTGTATTTGAGTACGAAACGGACTCTGTCTCAAGTGAAACGGCACAAGGAACAAGACTCATGAGCAAAGCTCATGAATCACGTCCAATTTCAGTTATCCAACGTCGTTTAGACTCCTACAAGTTCATGTTCTCTATTTCAGGCAAGTTTTAGAAAATTAATATCAAATCATAGAAATATCGTATTAGGATTCCGTAAATTGGTTTGTTCCCAAAATCACGAGATCTACTAGAATCAGGCTCTAACTCGTTTTTGCCGTTTTTGGTAATTTTTTAGTATTTTCTTAGTTTAATTAGGGTTTTTCAGTTCTTTAGTATAAATAGCTGCCTTAGGACTTTATTTTGAGAAGAATTTCAAATTTTAATATAATATTTAGAGTTTTCTCTATTTTTCAGGTGGATTCCAGAGTTTTCGGTGGATTCCGAATGTTATTTTGTTCAATAGGATTAATTCGTAGAAATTAATTCTTTACCGTGATTCCGTTCTGCGTCAGTCGGTGTCAATAACAAGTCGATGTATATCAAGTTCTTTTGCGTTTTTTAATCCAAAGTATAGTGCCCACATTTCTGCTGCATTATTAGTAATATACCCAATATTCTTTGCAAATGCCATTATAAATGTTCATGTATTATCTCTAATAATACCGCCTATGCCGGCTTTTCCGGGGTTCATGAGGGCTGATCCGTCGATGTTTAGTTTGTACCCATTAACCGGTGGAGGCTGCCATCGAAGACTAATTGTAATTTTGTTAGGTTTAGGTGGTATACTGGGGACGAAACTATTTTTCACGAGGAGCCAGATTTGATTTATATTTATTGGAATATTATGAAAAATAAAGTTGTTACGAGCTTTCCAGATAAACCAAAAGAGTGTGTAAAGTTGGTTCGGATAGGTCTTGTATTTTTTCGAAAGGGCATATGCGAGACTACAGAAATGAGATGTAGTTTCAGAGGAAACGTGTGGGAGTCTGCGGATTAGAGGTTGGAGTTTATGGCATTGGAAGAAAAGGTGCGTGATTGTTTCGGGGTAGGTTCCACACAACGGGCATGTATTTATTCTTAACACTTTTCGTCTATAAAGGAAGTCGGATGTAGGCAGACAATTCTGAGAGAGTTGCCAGAGGAAAAATTTAATACGCGGACTTACCGTGGATTTCCAAATGGTTTGCCATGAAAGAGAAGGAGTAAGACTTGAATGTTGGTCGTCAAATAACCAGAGGTAGGCACTTTTGAGGATAAATATGCCATCTTTTGTAAATGCCCATTGAAACATATCTTTACGACGATGTTCGGGTATATGAATAGCCAAAATCTTGTCAACAATATATTGGGGTATAAAACTTGAAACACAAGTAAGATCCCATGATTGATTGAGTGGGTTGATAAGATTAGAAACTTTAAGATTTACTAGATGATCAAGTATGTAAGAAACATAATTGGCTATAATCATATTATCAATCCATTCATTTGTCCAAAATTTGATTTTTTCGCCATTACCATCCAGCCAAAACCGACATTCTCTCAGTTTATGAATGCATTTATATATTGATTTCTAAATACTGCCATGGTATGGTTTTGCTTTAGCTACGTTGGAAATGGTATTTGTTGGGTAGTATTTGTATTTCATACGTTTGGTTAAGAGAGATGACGGATCAGTGAGAAGTCGCCAAGCTATCTTGAGGATAAAAGCATTGTTCAGAACATGTAGGTCTCGAATACCGAGTCCTCCTTTGGTTTTGGGCAAGCAAACAGAATGCCAGTTTACAAGACTTTTCCTGTGGGATTGAGATGTAGAATTATAAAGGAAGTTTTTGTTAAGAGAAGTAAGTGTCTTTACGGTAGTTGCTGGAAGTTGAAAAGTGTTCATGGTATAGTTAGGAAGGGTATTTAACACGTGCTTAATAAGCGTACATCTTCCAGCATATGACAAGTATTTATTGTACCAATTAGAAATCCGAGATTGAATTTTGAGAATTATATAATAGAAGGTTGTCTTTGAGAGTCGGTTAATAACTAATGGGAGGCCAAGGTATTTTTCACCTGTATTACTAGCTTTTATATTAAGTTGATCACAAATGGATCTTCGAATTGTACTATTAGTATTTTTTGAGAAAAAAACTTGGACTTATGCCACCAAATATTATTGAGATCAGATTCTTCTGCGAAAAGAGAAAGAGTGTTTTTAATAAAATCAACAGATTTTTGATTTGTTTTAGAAAATATAATGCAATCATCGGCAAAACACAAAATGGGAATAAAAGGTCCATTTTTACTAGATTTAAGAGCATCAAATTGATAGTTAATCTGTCCTTCAACAAATTTTGCACAAGAAAATTCAAACATAAAATAAATATATACGGGGATAGGGGGTCACCTTGCCTAAGCCCACGTTGGGGTTTCCAAGGCTGTGAAATGAGCAATTATTGACAGCATACAAAACGTTGTCACTTTTTAGTAACAACTTCTTCTTTTTTTAAGAAGGATATAGTTACTAGTTTCTCAATTCCCCTCCTAGTGTCTCGAACCCATGACCTAATGGTCCTAGGTGCAAGGTGCTTACCAACAAGTTACCTTGTCTTGACTTTTTAGTAACAACTTTTGATATTGTTCTGGTGCGCGAAAGCAGCGTTTGTCACCGTTCTGGACGATAAATCTGCGATTTCAGCTCTTAAGCCGGAACTTTATCGCTTCAATCGAAACACTATCACTAATGATTAATGGTTCATTGCTCATGAACTTAACATTTAGCCAAAAATAAGTCAAACACAAAGCAGAGAAAAGTGTAGTCCTCACCAGTTACCAGCAATTTTACCATTAGGAGTTGCACTAAAGATTATCACATTGCCAGCATATTTGTGTACATGTGAGTAAGATACATGCTTCTTCAAATCTTTGGATCCAATCTCTTCCTTAAACTTCTCAATCAAAATTGGGTCACAAACCCCACATCTTCGGTCTCAATTGTTATGACAACAGACGAACACGTATGGGCCTTCAATTTTTTGATTTCTCCGGACAGCTCAACCGTTTCATTTACAAGCACATTTTCAACAAACGACTTCGGACTCTATTAAGCCCCTTCAATAAGCCAAAACAAAGACGTACGATTTCAACCAATTAAAATAAAAGCAATATCAATAATTTAATAATGAACGCATATATTCCTTAAGTATGTTCATACCTGTATACAATAATTTTGGGAAAAATCAGTACGTCTCCATCTGACAGCTTCCCATTGTCGCCTGCCTCGCATATGGTCAAACGAGTCTACAAATTCCCAAATCATCAAACCTAAAACGTATATGTATGTTTTTTGATATATTTCCAAGAAATTAAATACACCAAAAAATTAAACAAGAAACAGGTAAAAGGTTAATCTAGCTAACTATATATGGATAAGCAAAGCAAGCATAAAACAAAAATAGAATAAATGAAAACGGAAAAAAACAAACTCATCTAGCATGACAAGATTTCTAGATTTTGAATTCTAAATTAATTAGATGGTTTAGGATTGCTTGTAATTTCCAATTTCGGTTATAGCTTGTGAATCCTGATACTTTTTTACATAGGGTTGACATCTAATAATAAACACCAAGCTTAATTCCACTTTGTACTCTTGAACCGGATCATTTTGACACTTTACATACTTTAAAAAAATATTTTTTTCTTACAAAATAAAATAAAATAGACTTTTATCACTAAATTATTTGATTGTTGGGTCTTTTATTGTTGCTAGAATTCTTTGTAAGAAAATACGATTTTCAAATTATTTGATGATAAAATAGCTGAAGGAATTTTATTTTTATTGTAAAATATTTTTTTTTTTTTTTGTGATAAAAAGTATAATTTTCAAATATGCTGATGTGACGATTTTATTTTGCACTTTATAGTTTTGAGAGGATTGATGAAAAAAAATGATTTGACATTAGCTTTAAAAATTCACCCGGAGCGCACTATGCATGATTTATTGTGTTTCGATGGTGCAAACTGCTATTAATTTTTTTTAGGGTGCAAGGTGCCAAAATACTATAGTTCAAGGGTGCAAAGTGTGATTAAGCCTAAAATAAATAAATAAATAATATCTGATTATTTATAATTTAATTTCCTCAAACATTTGACTTTTACGAAGTATCTATAAATCAATCCAGAGTAACCTAGGTTTTGTTGTTGACTATCTGTTATGCATTAATAATATAGTATGTTCTACAGCTGTTAATAAGTAGAACTAATTTCACTTCTTCAATGGAATTAATACAACGGCTACATTTTTTAAAACAAATAATATATTCAATTCTGCTATTAATATTTTTTTTAGTACGGACCTTGAGTTTAATGTCGTCTTTACGAGCTCTTAGGGCAGAGGCGAGAAGCTTAGGGAGAGGATCGGCATCAGATTTCTCGACTCGGGTAGGCCACGACTCATGAGACTTGTAGCATAGGAACAAGTGTCGTTCGTACTGCTCAACACTTCCAGCGAGTTTGCTTTCGTACATGTCGCTTCTCTTGAAGCCGTAACTGCCGCTCTCATCTACACTGATGGTGGTGGTGGCCATGGTGGAGGACATCGGAGTGATGAAGCTGGTGGTCGGACGGGAGATATTTTCCAAGGTTTTCGTATATGGTTTTACGACCACCCCTGAGGTATGGTCAAATTACAAAAAGAAAAAACATCTTGTTTGGTAATTATAGCCGCCCCTCCTTTTAAATACTTTTACATAAAATTTATGTAATTCGATTATTTACCGAACCAAATCGTATATTCAGTTCGGTATATGAAATGTTGGCGTACCGAAATTTCGATTCGGTTTTTACCGAGTCATGATGCTAATTATTAAATCACCTAGGATAGTGTGGTAAATGGGTTGAGAGAGCAAAGCGGATCACTAGCTTGCCAATTTGATGGTCTTGAGGTCCCTGCGAAATTAACACACGTGAACTAAGCCGGAGTTGATCCGGCGGAAACCCGTCCGACCCTCAAGTGAGATGTATGTGTTAGAATTTATTTCGTGCAGATATAAATTATTTGTGTCAGATTCAGTTTTTCGTTACTGTTGCGTGAAGTGTTGCAACAGTTCGTGAAGCAGTTCGTAAAAACAGAAATAAACGAGACACAAATTTAATGTGGTTCGGATACAACTGTACCCTACATCCACGGGGACCTGCAAATAAAATTTACTAATTTTTAGTTTTACGAATACAGTAATAGGACTTAATCAAAATACAAAGACTCCCTCTTTGTTGACGCCGTTCTTGTATACTACGCTGAATTATAAATCTTCAATTTGCAGCACGTCCCTTGCTCCGCACGGTTGAACTCCCTTCAACGCTGAATCCCTCAGTCGGCGGATCGATCTCCTCCCGAGATCTGTTTAAGCCCTCTCCCGAAGAACCGATCTTCTTTTTATATAGAAGAAGCAAACTTGTGATACTCCTTGAATCTTGGTGTCTTCACCACAAAGCCTTGAAGCCGGTATATTTTCTATGAAAAGAACGTATCACGATGGAACAATAAAAACGAGAGGAAAAATATTTTATGTGAAAAATTTCTCTCGATCAAAGACGTTCTGGAAGCAGCAAAAATAAGAGCAGAAAAATAAAATTTTTCTCTCCAAACAAAACACATAAAGTATGAGGCGCCGTTCTGCTGTGTTTATACATCTACAGGTGATAAGAATCCTACAAGGAAAATAAAGTCCATTAGGGTTAGGAAACTCTTAATTACGTAGGAAACAATATTTTCAATACAAGGAAACTCTTTAGAACAATAATTCCTATTATAAATCAATTAATGACAAATTATAAGAATTAAAAGCTACAAGGACTCTTCCCTTCTTTAGCTCACGGTATATGCAAACTTGTGGCACAAGTTTCCTTAATTCTCGTATAATTAGAATCCATGGGATTCTAACAATCTCCCCCTTCGTCGTTTATTGATTATAATCATTTTCGCTCACTGAGTAAAAAACCTGAAAATAAAACAATCAGATGATTAGACGGAAACAAATAAAACTAAAGATCATCATCAACTCTTTCAACAAGAGTGGCATCAACTGCTGCAATAGTAAGTGCCACAGTTTCAGAAACTGTTCCCACAGTAGTGGCTTCGGCAGGTGGTTCACAACGGAGTCAGCTCCCCCTGCATGTGTATCTCCCTCTGTGAATGATCCTTAGGCAGCTCCTCTTGTAAATGCATTCATTCTTCCCCTTTGCTTACTCGGCTTGATAGACTTGGAAGGCGGTGGATGACAACGTGGTAAATTATCCACGTGATAAGAGACTCAGCAAATAACGTCGGCATTAGCTCCTCCTTTTATATTCTTGTGAAGCTCTGGAGAAATCAAACAAGGAAACCAATTAATGACAATTACCACAATAATAATAAAATGATGGAATTCCTTCTATTTTGGATAGACACGTTCAGGTGATTAATATGGAGAGATAATTTATTTCTTCTCAAATTATCTAATGAGATAACTAAGGAAAATATGTTCCTCATATTAATACACATCTCCATAGAATTCCACTTGGTGTTGTGGACTTAGAATCCCACCGAGATTCTAACACTCTCCCCCTTTGGCATTGATTGGTCAGAACATTTACTCCCCCTAAATATATGATATATATGCATGAACAAGGGTCAGCAAATTCAAAATAACGTCTGCAAATATAAATTGTTGCAACAGTTTATCAAACAGTTCAGAGAAAGTTAGTGGTTTGAACTCAACAAATAAAGAACAACAGAAAATATGCAGTAGCAGAATCAACTTCCCTTTACAATGAATTCATCCGTATTTGTCATGTATTTCTGCACTATTCCAACAACTGTATGATGCATTGTCTCAACAGCTGTCTGAACTCCCCCTGCATTCATGCACTGTTCCAGCAACTGTCTGATGCACTATCGCAACAGTTGTCGGAACTCTCCCTGTGTTCATGCCATCGTTACCGTTCTTTTCTCCCCCTTTCTGGGCAATCACCATGCATAGATAACTCAACATGGACTAGTGATCTTGATGTGTCGAGCAATCTGTTCAAACACTTAACAAAAAAATCAAACGAAGAGAGAATCTTGAAAGTAAGTGAGAAGAGTCACCATACACAACTTGCAAACAAAATCACAAACTCAAAAACTCAATACCACACGATAATTGCAATGCGAAAATCAAAGGATAGTGATATCAAATCCAACATTAAATAGCAAAGACTACAGACTTTGCCAAACTTCATAAGAAACGTGGAAATGTGAGGAGTAAGCCCAATCGATCCGGTTGCAACAAAACAAATCAAATTTAACCGGCACATAAACAAAAATCCCGTCTCTCTCTCTCTCTCTTTTTTTTTTTTTTTTTTTTTTTTAAATAATGCCTAATGCAGTACAAAAAGTAAACATGAGAAATAGACATGAGTGAAGAGACATATGTGAATAGGATACTGCATGGACAAACAAAACATATGGGATTTATCTTCACATTCACGATAAGCGCAATCCCCAAAAATCCGACTGCCAATGCAACCAACAAACTTAATAATCCCAAGTCAAACACAAAGATGCTCTTATTAGGTAGCGTACACACACGTCTAATGGTAGCTTTTTCCCATGAAAAACAGAGCAATTAAAATGAACGAGATTATGGTGGTCGTGCAATGTGTAGTCCGCTGGGCTTTCTAATTGAGCTTTGTAGTAAGTGTTCGGTCAAGTGGTTTACTAGCTCGACTCAACTAGGCTTCGAACTATTCACTGACCATATATATAATTTATATTGGCCGTGCAATGTGTAGTCCCCTGGGCTTTCTAATTGAGCCTTGTAGCGAGCTTTCGGCCACGTGATTTACTGGCTCGACTAAAAAAGGCTTCGAACTATTCACTGACCAAATGGTTGTAGATATATATATATATTAGTAACAGTAGTTCAAGAGTAGCTTTCACTCATTAAAAGATGCAGTTTTCCCTATAAAAACATCCAACCATGACAAGACTATTCAGAGAAATAAATAAGTTGGAGCCTTTTAAGTAATCATTTTGGGAATTGGTGAAGTTCTACCCCACAAAATATAGAAATACACGAAGTATCAAATTCACATTTGTCTCAATCATATGCAGTATGCTTAATGCAGGTCCTATATGAGATGCAAAAACATATGAAGTGTCCTACCTCTAAAAGTTGCAAGTCTGGACACACAGACTGTTGCAACAGTTCATGCAACTGCATCACATTAAACAACATAAATTCCCAGCGATTTTCGCAAGGAATCAAATTTCTGTGCATCAAGGGTTTTTGCAAAAGCATCAGTTAATTCATTCTCCGTTGCAGCATAATCAATTGAGACAACCCCCTTTTCGACCAAGCCCCTTATGAAAAATGACAAATATCAGTAAGCTTAGTTCTCGAATGCTGAATTGGATTCATAAACTTATTTTTCGCATACAAATTATCACAATTCAGATTACCAAGTATTTTATTCCCCAAACTAGCTTTGTCACCAGATCTGTTGGAACAGTTAGTACTATCATCACATGAGTTTAAAGAAGTAATGGCAGATAAACAATTAAGATCAGACTTCTTTACCCAGATTTTTTGTTGAGTTTTATTCACTAAATCAACCTTTATCTTGGGTTTTCGAGACGACACAAAAGTGTGATCAATTTTAGCGGAAAGTGGTGAGCGGGCCATTATTCTTTTAACCATTTTCAAGTACTTAAAACACCTGGGTCGTATATGACCAGGAACATGACAAAAATGACAGGTAGGAACAAAAACTTTTCTTTGAAATGGCTGTGTTGGTGCAACTGTCGCAACAGTCTGTGAAACAGTGGATTGCTTAACAAAATTGATTTTTTTTAAGGTTTTCTTTCTGTTTCGATGCACCAGTAGATAGTTGGTTATCCCCTATACCTATACGACAGTAGTTCGGCTGATTTTTGTTCAAAATTTCATTCAAAGTTACTCTACCAGTATTAAACTTAGAAATAACATCTTGGGTTTGAGCAAATTTAGCCTGCAAGCTATCTATTTCTCTACTAGAAGAAATAACATTTTGTTCAAGAGTAGAAATTCTTACCTTCAACACTTTATTTTCCTCTATGAGAACATGCTTATCATTTTCAAGGCGCTTATTTACCTCAGATACTTCAAGCCACTTCCTGTACATTTTTTCATATACATCTTTCACCTCTTCGAGGGTTGGCTCTTCATCATCACTACTGCTCTCAGACTCACCTGCAAAATTAAACGATGAAGTCAGACTATTGTCCTTATTTTAAAGATAATTCATCATACCTGAAATCTGTCGGACAGACTGTTGCAACAGTTCCCTCGGTTCTGCTCATCGAAGTAGTACCACTGAATGCCATAAAGTTAGTGGTTTGATCTCCTTTGTTGTTCTCATCCTCATCACTGTCCTCTTTATCACTCCAAACAGTGGTGAGTGACATCTTGTTTTTCTTCAAAGTGTTCGCACACTCGGCCTGAATATGTCCAAAACCCCCACACTCTCGACATTGCTTTCTCCTAGACTTTGCATCACAAAAATAACCACTATTAGAAAACTTTTT